TATATGTTAAAATCAATAATTATTATAATATAATCAGATTCAGATTTTAATCAGATAGGATGGAGTCAAATCCGAATCTGAGCTAATCAGATTGGATGTCAGATCGAGTCACGGATTTCAGGGTATCATTAACAGACATAGTGATAGTTGTAGACATTTGGTGCGTTTCTACCATTAGTTGATCAGAACTATAAACTTTTGATTGCGGAGTTCATTAGTGTGATATTTTCAATTAAAAAGTTGTAGGATGAAAATTGAAACCCACCAAAGATATAATGGGGGCAATGAGGATTGAACACCATACCATTTGGTCAAATAAGCTTTGATACCATCTCAAGAAATCATTCAACCTAATAGCTTGAGATAATTGTTAAATCTAACAACTTAAGCTTTTAGGTTGAATGGTTACTTGACATAGTATTAAAGCCTATTTAACCAAATGGTCTAGTGTTCGATTCTTGTCAGCCCTAGGGCCTGTGCTTGTCCAAACTTAAAGACCAATTGGCTTTTATGTGAGGAAACGTGTTAAAGAATAGATATCTATTTAGGGACCTTATTTATTAAACAATTTAAGCTTTTAGGTTGAATGATTATTTGAAGGGATGTAGAGAGTGGAGGGATTGTATTCAACTAGAGAATATGGTGAGATTAACTTTCTATATGGATACAGGCACACTCCATAGTCCAGACCCATCCGTGTTAGATAGTAGTGTTGCCTGCCTGTCATTATTGTCTTATTCTTTGTGATTTATTCGTTTCACTTATATTGGTGCTATATCGAGATTCTATCCTACTTCAATGGAAATCAAATTAGGATATAAAGATTAACCTCGTCAATGGGCATGACAACCCGGACTACCAATGGCAACAATAAGATGATAATGACAATGAAGATGACGATCTAGGGTTCCATTGCAATGTTCCTCCTCTTCCATCATCTCTCTCCGATGATAGTGTTATATATCTGCAGATTCATCTTTCAGGCCAGCTAGATCTCCCATTCCTGATAATTTTAACCAAACAAACTAATAGTGGTTTTTAGGGTTTCAAGTGTTTTTAATTTGTTTTTTTTTCTTTTTGAAATTTCTAAAATTATATTAGATCAGAGTTGGTGTGTCTTCAGAGCTGAAGTATGCTTATATGGGTTTTGTTGTTAAGACCCAAGGAGCTGGCCAGTTTGACTGGTGACAAATATTTCCTGAGTCCAATGGAACTGAACCCAGAGAGGAAAACCAAGTGTGATAACCATGCCTAGCTGCCCCAGCATGAATTCAATAAATTTTAGCCTAACACTTTGGGCCATGTGATCCAACTTCCAACCTAGTCTACTCTTGTTCTGCCAGCTGGCAAATTTTAGTAATCATATGCCTATGGAGGGAAAAAATTTGACTGTATCCATTCAACAGCCTGTGCTGTCTTTATGAAATTCAGATTAGCTGAACATGATCACTGTGTAACGGGCTGTGAAAACAATGATAAATAACGAGTTAGAAACCCTGATGGCAGCCGTATGTTTGTTATGACTGATGTGGGATGGTATCATCACATTGTCTTTATGAAATTCAGATTAGCTGGATCACTGTGTAACGGGCTGTGAAAACAATGATAAATAACGAGTHAGAAACCCTGATGGCAGCCGTATGTTTGTTATGACTGATGTGGGATGGTATCATCACATATGTGGGTCTGGACTTGTCTTGAATCCCTTCCACCTAGGCATATAATTTGTACAGAAAATAAGATTAGGCACTGCTCAAGTTATGGCCCATGCATGTGCTGCCTAATTATGGGGCCAGCCGGGGCCAGATTTTGACCTAAATTATAGGCTGCCAATGTACTAATTGTCGCAGTAGAGGTGCCCATAAGAAACTGAGAAATCAAGAAACTGAACTAAAACCAAATAACTGAATTAATATTAAAAACCAATAAGATCGGTTCAGTTTCCAAAATATTCATGAGTCAATTTCCAGTTAAGTGAACAGTGCGTGACAGCGCTGCAAATATCGGCCCCATACCCCAAAGCATGGTTTCTGAACTGTTATTGATTCGGATGGTCACACTGTTTGGACCAGAAATAGTTTTACTCTTGTAATCGTTTTTTGTAAAAAACTGTTGACTTGATTAATGATCCACTTATCCTAGCGATCAAATTATTGATCCATTCAATTCAACTATTTTTTGTTTAATTATTTAATTATTTTATTTTTTATATTACAATGAATCATCTGTTTAGAATGAAAGGTCAAACCACTAACCTAAAAGCTGATGGTCAAAATGGTTTTAGTTCTAGTTGGTTTTTGAAATATTACTTCGAAAAAGTCAAAAATTAAGGAGTCCGGGCTTCGATTAAGGCAAAACCCGTTATAACAAGCTTTACAGTCTTACATTGAAAATATCTCTATAATTATGTGATTTATTAAGGGAGATATTCCCAATGCAAGATTATAAGCTCAAACGGTGCGACCACCCAGTTGCCCCAACAGAAGCCGAACTCAAAACTAAGGAAGCCACACAATGTCAGGCATAAGCATAAGATATGTGGGAAAAGGCCGTAGGGTCGGTTGGTCGAAGTGTCTACATTCGATTTCTCCAACTAGTGGATGTCTTATCTCCAGCAGTCCAACCTTATAATTATGTGGTCTTGGTTGTTATTTTTGCACTCGGTCCTAAGCCATTACCCCATACCATGAACAAAACGTACGTCCAATTACCAACCAACGTGTAACCTAAGGTGTTTGGGGGACAACGAAGAAGATGAACTTGGTCCACCGTTCTCTTGAGTACTTGACTGACTGATGATCCCTCAAGTCTCAACCCAAAGTTTAATAAACAAAAGAAAGAAGAAGGTGACGATGATTTGAATGTCGTGGATTGATTTTAGTGCCGTCTGTATCTAGTAGTCTTCTTATCCCAGTACGGTCACTTTGGAGAGAAGGAATCCATAGCAATAAGAAGACGATAATGGAGAGGTAAGTGTGAGACATCTTTTGGTTGAACCATATGCAGTGTCTACACGACAGAGTACGTCTGTCTCATTTCTTGGCATAGAAGAAGGAAAGACGACAAAGGGATGGCGTCCCCACGAAGCTTTTACTGTAGAGATCACCATCAAATGAAGCTCCTACACATGAATCGGTTAGGGGCCTTGGAATTTATTTAACATTATTTTTATTTAGACGTTGAGCATATCACCTTCACAAATTTTCTGGTTTTTGTTATGCAATAAATATATGATAAATATATTTTTAAAGTGCTATAGAATGATAGAATGATAGAATAGAAACGTGGGTAAGGCCTACAACCAGAGCTGTCAGGGAGGGTCTTTGCCATAGAATCGAATTGACCGAATGGTTCTAGTTATGTTATTTGAGATTGGTTTTTGTTGTTTCGAACCGATTAAGACTTGAGTCAATTATATAATTAATAATTTATTAACATTTCTTTTCTTTTAATTTTTATTCTATTTTATGCCCTCAAGGATAAATTTCATAGAGGTTACTGGTGTAATGCCAGGCCAAAATGAAAATGATCTTAGGGTCCGTTTGGTTTATAGTTGGAATCGGAATCGGAATGGTCCATTCTCATAATATGTTTGGTTTAGACAAAAATGGGATGGAAATTGGAATTAACAGGAATAGGATTTCATTCCCAAGAAAATGACAGGGAATGGCCATTCCTTCAAATGGGGGAATGCCATTCCAGTAGGAATGGGAATGGGATTCCAATTCCACCCAACCAAACAGTTGAAATCGGAATAGCCCATTCCAATTCCGATTCCAAACCCCTATTCCCGTGAACCAAATCAGGCCTTAGGTTTTTTGTTGTGCCCCACTAAGAGGTCATTTCATCTAATTCAATGTGGGGCCACATCAATACATCAAAAGCTTTAATTTTATTGTTTCGGCTATGTTTGGCTGCAATGCAAATAAATTTGTACTGCTGTAAATCTATGGCAGTGCAAATAATTTGAGTGCAAATTTTGACCTATTTTTGTTTTAAATTTTAATTTATTTTGTTTGATTACAGTACAAATGAAGTAAATTAAGACATGGGACAGAATAAAGTAAAACCCAAAATAAAATTAAATGAAAATTTGCATTGTTTTTTCATTTGCACTCCCATGCATTTGTACTAGTGCAAATAAATTTGCACTGTAACCAAACACAGCCTTCAGGACAATGTTATAACATTATCTTATAAAAAAACAGTTTGAATTCCATAGACATTATATAAGATAATTATGGCTAAAACATATATTTTATTAACATATAAACACGTTTAGTATTTATAGAAATACCTGGTTCCTACCATGTTGGAGGACATGCGTCTTACACTAACCATTTTGCACATTAATTATAGGTTTTAGGTTTGGGTTTATGGGTTTATGACTTAGGATTTGAAGATTTGAGTTTAAATTTTAGAATTTAGGGTTTAAGATTTAGGTTTAGGTTTTTAAGGGCTTAGAGTCTAGAGTTTATAGATCTAACCGAAGGCGAATCTAATAGATACTTTAGGGTTTTAGGATTTAAGATGCAAGGTTAGGGCTTAGAGTTTAGAATTTGGATTTTAGGAATTTAAGGTTTAAGATTTAATTTTAGAGCTTAGGAAAAAGGTTTTGAGTTTGAATTTTAGGAATTTAGGGTTTAAGATTTAAAATTAGGGTTTAGGCTTAGGTTTAAAGTTTAAATTTTAGGGTTTAGCCTTTAGAATTTTGTGTTTAGATCTACAAATCAGGTGGTAGGACGCATGCCCTCTAATGTAGTACGAACCAAGTATTGCCATAGTATTAATTGGTTTTGTTCGGGGTCAATTTTATGGAACCGATTAATTTTTGGTTTGAGACTGATCTGGTTCACCCTCTCCTGAACCAGACCCGACCCTTTGAGAGCTATACCCACATGACATGGCACATGGGCATCAAGAAAGAGAAACCCAGAGATTCCTCTGCTTCCAGGTTGTTCTTCAATAAAAAGCCATACTTCTCTCCCTCATATGATATTGTTGCGAACGAAACCTCCTGCATAGGTTCTGTGGCAACGCACCGGCCGGATAGCCGGAGAATTTTCATACCGGTATACGGATGGAGATCAGTCTGACCTATTTCCGGCGGTTGTTCTACTTCTCCAGTTGTGTGGCACCTCCGTCATGTCTCCATTCCCACAAGGAATACTCTCGTGTTCCTGCGTTCAGTAGTACCAGCAGAAGCCAAAAGTGGCGAAATCTTCTCAGAAAACTAGTGAGAGAAAGCAAGAGCATCTGTGGATCCAAGCCCTTAACGTTTCATTACGACGCTGAGAGCTACTATCAGAACTTCGACGATGGTTTTCACAACGAAGACTCCAGAAGCAGGTAGTACGAATAAACAGGGTCTGCAGTTTTTTACATTTTACAATTGAGAATTTGAGATCCATATTCTGTTGCTATTTAGCTACTAATTTGAGCATTTTCGATCAATGAATCCTTTTCAGGGTCTTGCTTGGATCTACCAGTTCAGAATTCAAGTTTATTTCGTAGAGGAAAAAGATCAAGGAGAATAAAGACGAGACGAATTTATCATTATTGTCCAACACTGGAATTGCTTACTTCACCATGCGGATGCAACCATGGATTAATCGATCAGCTTAGACATCAACATTAATCATTCTGTTATAGTTAGATGCGAGAGATAAGGCAATGAGCATTACTTTTTCCAGGTCTATCCTGGCACCAACAGAAGTGCTATCTGGTGATGTCTGTAGCAAGTTTTCTGCATCAGATATTAAACATTATAGTACTGTGAACTGTAACTCTAACGTCATAGCTTGGACTTTGACGTGAGGGGCATGTTAAAGAATTAAAACAGGAACCTCACCAATCTAAGCTTTTACGTTTAACGGTTTCTTGAAATCCACCCATGATCACATTAAATTTTAAATGAAATCTTATTTGAATAGTCTCTCGTTAAGACACCGGAAGTCTGGAATTGGTTATTATTTTCGAATCGAGAGGAAGCTTTGATCCATTAAGAAGAAAAAAATGCATAATTATCTGAGACCAAATTGGTCTAGTTTTCATTTCGGTGCTAACTGAAGTTGCTTACTAGTATCTTCTGATTGAGAATTGAGAAGAAATATTTCTTCGATCCATTTGAATTAAAAAAGGCATGAACGGTAAAGAGCACTGAAAGTCTGAAACACGATCTCTGAAATTTCATTTTTTTGGGGCGAATAGGTTGAACACAGCAGGACCCGCACGGTTATCACCCTCTCATTAATGGATAGAAATGAATGGGTCACGCTGATCACTTTGGACGGTGAGAAAATTTTGGCTGTCCACATCCGACAGCCTGTGTTGTCTATAGGTGGGTCTCCGCATACACATATCAGTCTACACAGGTCATGCCTCCAGGCTCCCTCTCTGTTAATATTCGATTAGGCTGTGTTTGGTTCGAAGGAAAAAGTAGGGAAAGGTAGGTCTCCACATACACATATCAGAATCACTGTGACTGAATTATGTTTAGGTAAAATTCATAGTGTATCTGCTGCACTACACCCTGCATCAAATCATGTGATTGGTTGAATAAATAAAAGTAGACTTTGTAAAACATGAATAAATAAAAAGTATGTAGATTTTAACATAATTGGTTGATATCTGGATTTAACGTAATTGGTTGAATCAATTTAATGAATGCACTATAGTTGAACTCTTGCATTGTGTTTGGTTTGAAGGAAAAAGTAGGGAAAGGTAGGGAAATCTTTACAAATCTTATATAGGTTTCCTTACCTTTTCCTTCAAACCAAACATATATAGCCTTATTTTTCATTCTCCCAAGGGAATGAGAAGTTCTTTATAAAAATTTTAACATATTTATAAATAATTATGTGTAGAATTAAGGGTGTCAATAAACCAATTTTGGATTGGACCCCATCCAGTCCAAACTCAATTTGAATGGATTGGACAAGCCAATAAGACATTGGATTGGACCAATGCAGTGCAAAATATTTATTAGATTGGATTAGACCTGGTCTGTCCATAATAAATTTATATTGGATTAAGCCAATATCTGGTCCATTGATATAAGATAAGAATATAGGTATCAATGGACCAGGCATTGAAATCGATCTGAATCAAAATGAATTTGAACAAATTGGACGGTCAAAACATTGAATTGGACCGATTCAAAATGATCCAAAATATTCATTGGATTGGACTGGACCTGACCCATTTATAATGGACTCACATTGGACTGGATCGGATTGGATCAAATCCAGTCTAATTGACACCCCTATGTAGAATATATTAAATATAGTAACATCACAAAGCCAAATTAGATGAAATTTTAGCCAAAACTTCTCACTAACAACTACCATAAATTTTATGTAATTTTTAGGAAAATTTACAGATAGGTGCCTTGTATTTTGGGATAGTGACATTTAATTAAGGGCCTCAATTTTCAACTCTTTGTATGTGAAGGGTAGGGCTGTGTACATCTATCCCTCTCAGACCCATAAAGGTGGGAGCCTAGTGTACCGAGCAATTTTCAAGTACCACAATCAAATACCTTGAACTTTCAAAAATCAACATTCAAGTCCAGCCATTAATTATTTGTGACACATGATGTCATATGCACCTTTGAAACATTTCAAAATCCTAAAACTATCATTCACATACTTTATGAGATTGTTTCACGAGGAGCCATCTCAAATTCATTATTAGGACTGCATAAAACGGAGTCTAAAATGGGCAGTTTGGTAATTCTACTACTCACTGTAATGTTGATTAATGATGTTAGATTTAAGTGTTGGCTTTTGAAATTTAAGAGTATTTGGTTGTCAAATTTGAAAGTTTTCTTTAGTGTCATTACCCCCAAAGCACAAGGTACCTAAGTATAATTTCCCAAAAATTTTTATGACTTTTACAATTTAAAAAATCTATTACCTACACCAAAATAAAGCAAGTATACAATCAATAGATGAATATGATAGAATCTAACTCAATGACAACATTCTTATAACCAAGATACCATTTAATCTTGATCTTGTAATTCAATCATAAATTCGTAGTTTAATGAAGGATTGGCAGTAAATACCAAGGGAGTAACGCGTTCATATAGCCAACCCATAGAATTGGAACAAGGCTTAGATGATGATGATTATGACAGTTCTTGTAATTCAAGCCAACCGTATAAACTCTCTTGAATAGACATCTAGCCTTAGAATTAAAATTTAAAGGGTAAATTGTTGACACCTCCCCTAAACTTTCTAATCATTGCTGAAACTTTTCCTGAAGTTTAGTAATTGTAATCATCTCCCTTCAACTTTCTAGTACAGTTGCAAATAGACTCCCTCTGTTAGAATCTTTTAACAAGAGCCATGAAAATGTCTAAAATACCCATAAAATTATTATTGAGACTGGTTTCTATGAAATAAACAATACAAACTTTATGAACAATATAAAAAGAGAATTTAAAGTTGTAGCTTTACTTTTGAGTGATTGATATGAAGGGCAAATTTAGAAAATAAATCAATTTCATAAAAGAGATTGAAAGGGTTTGAGGTAGTGATTCATATGAAGAGAAAATTTGGAAAATAAACATTTTTGTCAAAAGTAACTACATGGGCATTTTAGACATTTTTATCCCTAGAGATGGCAAAACAGGTTAGTCGTCCCTATTATGACCCCTTTATTAGGAAACCTTTCTCAGGCAAAAAAAGGAAAATTGCAGATTAGTACTTTATACTTTGGGCCTAGTCTCACTTTAGTTCCTGAACTTCAAAACATGTCAATCCAATACTTGAACTTCCAAAATGTCCCAATTTAGTGCCTCAGTCGTTAGTTATGTGTATTATGTGACATCATCTGCAACTTAACTATTTCCAAAATGGCAAACTACCCTTTGTAATATTTTTGAGACCATTTTACCCTTTTCTTTTAAACGTTAAAAGGTAGGGTTCTTTCCTCTTCAACGAAAAGAAGTGGGTCGAACGAATGAAGAAGGGTTCTTCATCGCTAAATGAGTGAAGAAGGGCTCTCTTGTTGAATGAACAACTGTAACCAATTCTTGAAAGCATTAGGTTTTAAGGTTATGTCACATTCCCTTCATATCTTTCATACTCTTTCCCTCTTCGTTTATGGCTGTCTACTTGTTGTTTCTCTTCTTGCATTAATGTGGCTTTTAAACTGTTTTCATTCATTTGTATCATCTATTATTTAGTTAGTTTTTTTACTTCGATTAGAATGGTTTGCAATGAATATTCACATGGTGTGCAGGATGTCTTCTTCTCACTTTCTCAGTCCACATGTGATAGTCAACATGTTAGGTACCTTAAATACAAGCTAAAGGATTGTAAATGTGGAAAGAAAGTTACGACTCGGGTGTTGAAAACATGTTTGAATCCAAATAGGGATATTTTACAGCTACCTAATTAGTCTTGTAAGTAATTCAGTTAATTCACATTGTATGATCTTTAATTATTACAATGATGGGTTGCTGACCTACAATGTATTTGAATGTATTCATGGAATTGAAACGTACTTGGGCCATGCGATATTTTTCAATGGGCAGTTCCCACAAACTATTCTAATGAAGCTAGCTCAACAATGATTAATCTAGATAACCGTATTGGAGACTTCAAAAATTGGTAGTTGATCTAGACTATTTGAAGGCTGTGGAATCCTCCCAACAAGTAGTTACTAAAGGGTTGAAGACCATGACGCTCTTAACCATTGTGTTCATTGTTGTGTTCTTTGGCATATACATGTACAAGAACTAGAGTTTAGGATTATGTATTTACATGTTTTTTTATCATATCAAGAGTTTGGTTGTTAATGAAGCTATAGTCTGGGACTTGAGCCTTCAAATCCTATGTTGATAATATTAGAAGTTTAAATGTTTGTATACATTAGGGTTTTAGTAGATGTATCATGGATTTTTTTTATTATGATAAGACTTCAAATCATATATTCATAGTGTTTCTTTAAGCCATCATCAAGTAATGGAATTAAGTGCAAAGAAATGCTAAATCTGATTGGGCCGACTCATCTAAGACCCATGCAAAAATTCTTCCTATTTTTCTAGGGAAAATGTTACAAAGTCCAAATTATCTTTCTTTTGATTGATAACTACAAAATTATTAAGTGTATCAAAACTATGTTAGACAGTGTATGCCCTTAACTCCAATCAGAATGATGTACATTATGACATTTAATATAAATGAATAAAATATATATTTGATTCATGTTATTATGGTGTGTTTCTGTATAATACCCTTAAATTGAACACATATGAGACTCGTGTTAGTTTAGAATCTTCACAACCGTTGGATAGATCTGGGGAGATTTATCTTGCCAAGGCTGACACTAATGTGCCGCCAAGTTGGTTGGAGTGGTCTATCTCAGCTGCTAGGGTGAGACTTGAGGTGCATGCAGTGTGGGTTTTCTTGAGACCCTAAACCGRACCAGAATTCCAGTATTGCCCTAGACCTTGGAGATAGATGGAAAAAACTAGAATGTTACACCTAACCCCTAGACTCGATTATGATACTGCACTAGGTGTTGGATTGGGTTGTCTTTGATATGCCAATCATTGAGATCCTTAGATGGGGTCAAAACCTGGGTATGTTGGGACAGTC